ATTAAAATGTATACTCCAATTTCGATGTTGAAAAAATTTGAACTACATCATTTTGATTAATTTCTTGTTATAGAAACTGCTAAATAACAATACTACAGTATTAATTTCTTAATTTACGACCAAGTAAAACTTCGTCAAAATGATCCAATTTTTATAACCGCAATGACAATAATTAACATTGGCAGTGTGACATGTGTCTAAAAGAAATACAATGTTGCCATATCAATTATGTATTACATAGCAATGGTAATTTTTACCTATGCCCTGCGTTGTACCAGGCCAACCAATTGACTTCAATATCAGAAAAATTATATAAAACTAACAATTTAAAAAATACCCATATCAAGATCTTCTTCCTCACCCTCATCGGCAGAATACTCTTCGACGTCAATATTGATATATTCTAAATTGCAAGGATTATACAATTTTTAAACCATACCTGGCTACGCCGACCGGCATCAACTCCAATGGCCTGGACCCAGCTCAAATTGAAATTTTTTTTTTTTTAAATATTAGATAAGTACGGACATGCCGTAATTAACGTACAATCATCATGAAATGAAATAAAAAGACGGTTGTCTGTGATTACTACAAATGTTTTCACTTCAAGATCCAAATTTACCTGCTGGTCAGACACTATGTAATTTTTCAGTCAACTTTCACTAAGCGAATTATTTCCTGACTTATATGTTTTCTTACTCGAATTTATAGAAACTAGACACATCAATTGTCATTGAAAATAATTTAGTGTTTATTTGTTTTTCTAACAAACTAAAAATGAAAAGAAAATTTGATCATTTATGAAAAAATTTGGTATGGTTTATTGCTCTATGAATGGTCTTATATTGATTTTTAGCCGTTTCTACAACAATAAATCAGTGAAAATGGTTTATTTCACATTTGTTTTATGATGGAGACCCGACAACAAATTTTAAGGATTTTAAGGAAAAAAAATTTTTAAATAAGTGTTAGCGGACCCAAAATTGTTATGTATAGTGTGTTTCAAAGTGTCTAGAAACTCTTTATAACATTTTAATAGTTATATCCGCCGTTCGAGTGTCGGCGTATAATACCGTCTTCTCCCCTAAGAAAGTTCTAAAAAAATGTCAGAGTGGTTTTAACCCATCTACAATTTCTTTTGGGTTTCTTTATTTACCAAAAGTAGAGTAATCCTCTAAAATTCACTTTTGTCAAATTTTATTTAATTTGTTTCACTCACATCTGAATGTGTTTTTTATGTAAACTTGGAACTCTTCTCATGTGCAAACAGTACATTTTGGTGTATAAATAAATTGGGTCCAATTGACTTATTTTGACCTCTACTACATGTGGGCAGCTGTGTTCCATCAATTTTGGGACACCCTGTATAAGTATTTCCTATTATCATAACGGCAATTACAGGGTAATAAATCGTCGATCTAAAGCACACATATTGTAACTCCAAATTTAATGTTATAACGATCTTGGTACCAATTAAATTGCATTTTAGTCTTCTTTATTGGGCACAAACATTGTAGCTCCAACATGGCTCCAGCACCCACCAAACTACAATAAATTCAAATTAAAACTGAGAATTAAGGCACTTAATTACACTTTCTAGAAGTTTAAATTTGCGATTGTCCAAAAATGCATTTTTGGATATACAATAAGTGTGCTTTAGACCGACGAAATGGATAACACAATTTATACATTTCTGTAAAGATAAATTATAGAAAGATTTAGTATGTTCCAAAAATATATCATTAAATTTTAAAACATGATGATTATTATCTTAAAATGGACCTATATAATGGAAATAATCTAATGATAAGAAATGTTTGCTTAACCTCGTTAACTGTAAATGCTGGTAGAATTCTTAAATCTTTTTTTAAATTATAATATTTTGCATTTTTTTACATCATATGTTCGCATTGGCTGATTAGAAACATAGTTTGCCATTCACCTACTACTGATAATTTAATTAAGGAAAAATTCCACTAACCTGTATTTCCAGAAGCAATTCTGTTTTTCTTCTTCTGATTTCAATCAAAATTCTCTGTTGTTCAGCAGTTAAATCTAGAAAACAAATTTAATTGTACAATGTCTATTATTATCATCTAAATATTCTAAATCAATAAGAAATAATTCATGTTATACTTCAAACACCTTTTTATAAAAAACAAAAAGCAACAATGAAGGAAAATAGAATTTAGATTATAAAAAATATTGAATTTGATCAAAATTTGAATTCTAAGATACATATAAATATTATAGATACTTAAAATCCTACATAATAAATTCATTTTAAAGAAATTTAACTACCTTTAGACATTCTTTGAACCAAATAGAACTTTTGGCCCACAGCCAAAGGTCATTTGTTTTATAAAAAGTATTTTTCCAAAAAATCATTAATATTATATCCTTAACTTAGATTCGCCAATAAACTTTAAATGGACCAATTGAATAAATAACATAAACACTACATTCTACATTAATAAATAGAAAACATTAATTTAGAACAATAAGCACTGATATGAAATAACAATGATTAATAAGGGAAACCTCATATGAATCATTCGTTGGAAATGATAAAAATCCTCAGCACATACATTGAATAATTATTTATTTACAGTTAACATTGGGGTATGCTACAATGATAGTGCAGGTACCATCTACATGTAATTTTTAGAAAAACTTACAATAAGCCATACTCCATGTAAATTGTACAATATAAACACTACACTTATCTAATATATCACAAATAATACTAGATAATGGTAACACAATAACAATATTGCCATTATTTGTATCTAGGGTACTCCAAATGATAACGTTTATCACTCATAACTTTAACTTACCAGCTATATTGAAAGTGTCTAGATTGTGACTGGATGTGCCCATCTCATTAGTCAGTAAATTAAACTTTTCGTTGAATTATAAATAAAAATCATGATGTTTAAAAGAAAAAACAAGAATATTAGGGTAGATATGAATTGTGACAGTTATTCACCATTTTCGAAACGTCACGTCATTATTTTTCATTGGTACCAACACCAACAGAAATCTTTAAAGCTGACTTCAAAATGAAAAGCAATTATACAATGTACTGATACAGTTATGAAGATATCCAGCTACAAAAATAAAGCTATAAAATAAATCAATTGATAAATAATGATAAATTTTATTTATTACAAATTCATTTTATAATAGGAACTTTAGAACATATTCTGCCATCTGTGAGTAAATAGTCATACTTGAGGATTGTATTAAAAGTTTTCTGTAATTCAGATAAGTTGAATAGGAAATTAAATGAGAAAATCGCTTTTCAAAATTAGAGACTGCCACCTTTGAATGAATAGCCAAACAAAAATTTTAAATTAAGAAGGTATCTATTATAATCGTTTAATTATTAGTTATCGATATTTCATCATATATTCGATCATTGCATAATGATTCGATTCAAAATGTGATGGAAATTCATTTGACAAATTAATTTAAAATAAATTATTGAGGACTAATTTTAAAAGCTCAATAATAATTAGTACGTCAACTAGTTACCAATTTAACTATTCAATAATTTTTTGCATTATTTTTGTGCATAGATTAGACGTTTTTGTGTAAACCGGCTCAATGATATGTAGTTATACAGATTGCTCACCGAAATCGAGGTTTCATTGGGCGAAGTTTTCTTTTTATCTAAGGACCGATTCCACCGTTGTGTTAAACGAAGTTAAAGTGACATTTTTACATTAACAATGTCATTTAAATCTCCGTTTAACACAACGGTGGAATTGGCCCTAATACATGCAATGTTTATGTATATTAAATATAATTTTTCAGATAATTATTAGTTTGTACATGTTAATTAAAACTAGTGCAGGATATTATTTGAAATTGGAACCTACAAATTGGCGAAAAATATCATAGTCTTATTTATAATAATTAATAAGACATTAATTCATAAAATTAATTTTATGCGGTAATCAAGAGAACGTTATTTTGTAATTATTATTATTATTATTATTATAATAAGTCAGGGTCGTTTCCACCACTACTCGTTAATAAATAAGCCAAGCCTAAAAATGTCATATTAAACCTGACACTTGTTTTATTTTATGTACCAATTTACGTTATTCACTAGGTAACATTGAAATTTACAGTATTTACACACTGTGGTATTAAAACATTTTGTAACAATTTTAGCTATTGTCAAAGCAAAAATTACACCAACTGAAATCATGGAAGGGTAAAAACCACCCTAGTCCTACCTTAAATGACATCGTATTTTTTTTTGAGGGCCGCCCCTCTTAAAACATATTTGGGCCAGAACAGTTCTGTACAGTAAGCACTTGGAAAGGCAATATAAGGTTTGTTCCAACATAAACCAAATCAGTTTGTGTACTGTCGGGATTCTGCGCAGTCTAGAATTTGTGTTCCAACAAACCTTAGACTCGAAACTGTACAAAAACATAGTGTTCCAACACAACCAAAATTAATCACAAACCGATTTGTGTACTGTCAAATCATTTCCTGTCAAGACATGCGCTAAGCTGCAATAAACTGAACATTTCGTGATTGTAATTATATTATTTGTATCTATTGTCTCTGACAGTTCTGATTTGTATTTGTTAATCGAGCTTAGTCTTCATAGTTTTTGTTCATGATCATTTATTTTATTTTGTGGTTTATTATTGTAATAATGCGTCTGTTGAATTTAAAAAATGTGTTCCAACATAATCGAGTTCCGAGTTGAGTCCCAATCCCCGACCAGTACCTGACAACTTGTCACTTACTAGTCATCGACAGATTGTCAACAATAAGTTTTGGACTGGTTTATGTATTGTTCCAAGATCGTTGTTGGAACAAACCTATAGCAACGTTTTTTGTAGTCCTATTTAATGTTTATTTACATATGGCTAAGCAATCTATATAACTTTATACCTAATTGAAACCGCCATTTAATGTGAATTTAATCGATCTTTAAATCGATTATAGAATCGATTTTATGTTGCCTCATATTCCTGCGCTCGTGCGGTTCATTCATAGAATGGGTTATGGGTTCATGTTTTGTGTTTTGTGATTATTGTACTTTTGACAACCAACCTACGGTGTTGTTGACACTCCCGAAAACAAACCCTAGTTTTACTCGAGAGGGTGTCGACCGGTTTTATAAAACATGTATTAAAATTTATAATCTAGTCAATAATTCAATTACCATTTTTAAACACATTTATAGTTACCGCAAAAATTGTGAGTTTTTAGAATTAAGTGTAGTTTTATTTTCAAAAAATGTCCGAACATAACCAAAAAAATCAAATGCAAGGGCCAATCGTTGTTAAAAGTGTTGTACCAAAAAATCGGTGAGTCAATATTAATTATAAATTTTGAATATTAAATTAACCGCCTACTCATACAATACTCTGCGAATTTCTTGTTTATTGGAAAAAATTGTTTCAAATTATTGCGGGTAATTTTTTTTATAGTAAAACAGAAACATCTCGCAAATGTGCGACATAAATATAATTCATACATTTAGTAAGCATTTAATAATGATTTGATAGCAGAATAAACTTTTAATACAAAAATTTGTTTTATGTTCGTAGGTACATAAATATGATTATACATATTTGTGCGCCACCCACGGCAAATACTAATAATAGTTATAGGGATATTGTTATTAAAAATTATCGATTTTAAAATACCAAAACCACTGTTTGCTTTTTGTGATTAAATAAGTTCTTGATAAATTTACTTAAGTAATTGAAACATGTACCCAAATATGAATTATTTAGTTAATTTGAATCAATTTATTGATAAACGTTTATAAGACCAAAATGATTAATATTTTAGATGCTACTTTTTAATATGAAACACAAAAACCTTTATCGAAATTAATAGAATCAAATTTTTTATATATATTAATTTTTTCTTATGTCCAGATAGCTCAAAATTTCTAAAATATGTGACTTCAAATTTTTAGAGAAAAAAAGGTGTCTACGCTCACCAAATATGGATGCGATTTTTACGTTATTAAGGTATCAAGTACGCATCTGTATAAGATTTGTGTGCAAATAAATCACGGATTAATTGTTCGTATGGACAGAGAATAGGATTTTAGATCGATTTTCAGGGAATTTTAAAATAAAAAATGAGAGTTTTTTTTTCTATTGAATATTATGGAAACCGTTTGAGCTACGAAAATGCAGTTTGCGGCGTTGAATTTATCTCTAAGAGCTCTACAAAATGGTATATAGACACATATTACGATATGTAAAAATTTGGAAAATGGATAAATTTTCAAATTTTTTGAAATAGTTTGGTGGCGTTACTGTTAGAGATACACCCATATATACAATGCGTTAACTTTTCAATCCTGACTCCAGAAAAACGATATAGAAACAAAATACCATTAAATAGACAGGGATAGAATATAATACGTCGCTGAACGAATATATTTCATACCCATTCTAGATACTGAGAACACTGCAAAAAATTAAATCCACCAATCACAGTTCATATTTTGATCAGCCGAATGCTATTATTTTTAAAATTTTAAATAAGTGACAATTCTGTCAAACTAATTGTCAATATATTTTGTAGTTATTGAGATTAAACATACATTAATGCCGCGTTTGAGAATCCACATCGGATGCATCTGAGATGTAGTAAATCTTTGATCACGTGATTCAGTATACGTAAATGTAATGGGACAGATGTGTCCGATGTGGATAAAAAAACGCTCGAGATGTAAAAAATGCTTCCAATGTGGATTCTCAAACGCGGCATAAAATGAGTTATTGTTGTGTAGAATCGATAAATAAATAGAATTTCTATTTTTATTTCATCTATAGTTCATCTGTATGAATTCAATATAATTACGAGTATTAAAGCAAAAAAAAAATGAACGCCTAGATGATCCTGTGGTCAGCGTTCTTGTCTTCCATACGGAAGACCCGAGTTCGAATCTCAGATTGAGAAAAATAAAATGAATGTTTTTCTTTCCTTTTTTTTTTCTTTTTTTTTTCTTTTTTTTTCTTATTTTATTATATAAATATTTTTAAATTAATTATATTATCTTAATAAATTAGAATAGATTTTCGTTAGTGTGTCGTAGAAAAAATATACTGTACAACTCGAGTGGAATGTCCATATCGCACTCAGACGATTGAGCTCCGCCTATGGCGTTGTGCTCAAATTTCGTCTTCGTGCGATAAGGCCATCATAATATCTACTCTTGTTGCACAAACTACTATTTTATGTATTTTCTGCGATAATTCTTTACCATGTCCGATTTCTGTGATTTTTTTGTTAAAAAGGAGTGGTCCCATATAAATATTTATAAATAATAATAGGATCCATTAGAAAATCATCAAACTCCTTATTTTTTATGTATATTCAGTGATAATTTTTTACCACTTTGTCCGATTTCTATGCTTCTTTTTTTGTTAGGAAGGGGGTGCCTCGAGGGTGGTCCCATATACATTTGGTCAAGATCTGATGATGAGATCTATACGAAAATCAGCAGACTGAATTTTTAATGGCATCTGCACGATTTTGGAGTCGGTTTTTTAAAATTTCTTTTATAACTTGTATGTGATTTTTTTAAAACGCCATATCTACGTTATTTTTGAAGTTAACCCAACAGACCCATAGTGATTTTATTAAAAATATTTTTTTATAAAACGATAAAAATAGTGAATAAAAACAAACAGTTAATAGCTATTAGCGCCAATACTATGGCGGAAACGGTGACGCGAAGGCCTTCCATGGAGGGTTCCGACCCCACCCACTTCATGTCTACGCCACTGTAGCACACGATAATTGATGCTTCTTAAAACTAATCGAGATATGAAAATTTAAATATTTTCAAAAACGTCCCACGGTTTACTGAACATCGACGCGATATGCATTTTACGCAAATGCGAATTAGTACGACCATAAATTAGTACGTTCATGCACAGCATTGATATTGAATGAAGAGGAGATGCTATGACGATGTTAAAGTGTACGCACCTTTGCATTAAATTTTTACGTCAATGTCAAACTCGAGCTAGTCAGTTTTGGTGAGAATAAATGCCATATTTTTTAAATGGCCTCATTTAAATGCTATAAAATCATTTTCATTCTGTCAGTCTTCAAATATAAAATTATCGACTTTAAATAAATCAAAGTACGACCAGTACAGTAACCACAGGGGGACAAAGGGGGACAATTGTCCCCTCTGCTACTGGAGAATTGGCGTTCCTATGGCGCCAATTCACCTCCGTTTTGATTGAAAATTTTAAACTTTTCAGAAAGAAAAATGATTACGGCTGAAATATTAGTAATATTGCCAAAATAACAATAACAAATAAGGAAGATTAGAAGTCTTATTTTAATGTAATCAGTCCTAATAATTTATAGCCAATAACATCTTTATTAAAGCGCTACTCTGCGGAAAGTAATCGTGCCGATACGGGAGCCGCGCGACAATTGACATGTCAAAAGAAATCTGATGTGTTCAACACATGACTTTGCTGTCTAGTTATTACAGGCTTTTTCTAGTTATTTTGTACAACCTATTGTATCACCCCTGTAAGTGTTTAGAAGATGAACTAAATACATACATTTTTCTTGAAGAAAGGGTTCTGAAATTTGTAAGCTTGTAATCTGCATTCGCAGATTCATTTAATCTCAACGAGCTAAATAATTTTAACATCCCGATGTCGTGGCTAAGCATATGACGGTGCCGGCGGCTATCCTCGACAATCGCTAAAAAACGAACCGTTTTCGAAAGTGAGTTGTTGAAAAGCGAGTAGTTTTTGAAATCAATATTCTTGACTGGCGTTCGATAAGCATTCGTTTTTTAAAACGTGTACGTTTTTAGCAAGCAAATAATATGTCTAGCATCACTGTAAACTGTCTATATCGCCGAATTCAAGTAATGTGTAGGCCATAAAAAAATAAGGATTATGTAATTTAATTACAACAAACCAATTGTAAATTTATCAAATGATGCTTTTTTATAATCACATAATATATCAATGTTCATGATAAACTAAATCGTTAATCATTGGCGGAAAAACAGCTATAAGGGTGCTGTCAATGTAACCTATAATTCTAGGAAATTTGTACGTCATAAAACCTAATTTTTATGTTACAAAATTAACTTAAAAACTTTGCTAATCTCATTCAGTTCTTAAATATCTTGTGGCAATTTTACAAAATTGTTAAAAGTTCTGGACACAACGTGTGATATAGAAGAGCTTTGAACTACCACTTGCAAGAAACCTCAAGCAAATTAATATCTATAAATAAAACATACATGAATTAATAATTAAAATCTTACACGGTAAAATATAAAAAAATATTCATTCAATATCCATTAAATTAAAAAAATGGATTCTGCCTCTGCATGTCTGAATCTTTAAGTTATGTTATGTTGAGAATGGGGTGTTAATACACTGCGACCTAAAAGATCTATTGTTCCCCCTTCTGTCGCCAATGCACTAAGAAAATGTCTCAATGCCTATAACGACCCTTCCAATTCTATTATCTCAAGGAAGTGTAGGATTTGAAGTGGCTTCAAGTTAGGTAAATCTCTGCTTTTAGCATTCTTATCTTCCAAGTTTTCTAATTGTACTAATTATTGTATTAATTGAAATAAATTTTCAGCTATTAGACTTTTTTAGTACTGCAAACCATATTTATAAGAAATTAGATACTTTTGTAGGTATTAATAAAAAGTAAAATTTGTTAAAAATCAATCAATATTATTAATCATCCTAAAAGTGACATTAACTAAATCCTTGAAAACATGCACGTTTTATCACAAACGTCTGAAAAATTCCGCTCGCTGTAAAACACCCGTTTTAAAAACGTACACGCTTTTAAAACGAATGTCGAGAATAGCGAATAGCTCGCATGTTGCTAAAGCGTATACGTTTTTTAGAAAACGATTGCCGAGGATAGGGCCCCTGCTGTTCTATTTCAGGTCATATAAAAGATCTGCAGACTAGAATAAAACATAGCATTATTAAATATCGAATATGACTGTGTTAAAAATTTGGACCTCTCTGTCACATTTGTCTGTGAAACAACGCCGTTTACAGTAAAACTATATAACCAATGATGTTACCAAATGTTTAAATTTTTAACGTTTGTGTACAGTAATCGCCAAATGTGAAGAACCAACGACGCGCATTTACAATGCTACGAACACGCCTACCGATGAATAGAATTGGTAGCTTACCTAGAAAGTTGTAAACCAGGGGCGCGTATATTTTAAGACATAAAATAAATGGAAAATAGTGAATGATACTTGTTCATACATATTGCTTAGTGTTATTATTAGTACATAATTCTATAGTCAATTAAAAAA